GGGGGAAGGGGAAGGGGAGGGCGGCCTCGGGCAAGGACGAGCAGAATGCTCCGGATGCTATGTTTGCTCAGGGTGGAGTACTTTCAGATTGGCGTGAGGGATGACACGTGTCGCGGAGGGGGCGGACGGGTTCCTTATCCGTCCGGGGACGACCTATTAAAGGGGTTTTAGGAAGTGTGGAGGTCGGCCGGCGATGGGACGGGATAGGAATGGGGTGGGGATGGGGTGGGGACGGGGAGGAGATGGGGATGGGGAGTAGGTACGTCCGAGGCTGGGCAAGGCGTTCGTACGGGATGGAGCTCGGCTTCGGTGACCTCGGGAAGGAAAAGGAGCCGATACGCCCTCGTGCAGTCCGCCCTCGCGTTTCGGCGCGGGCAGAAGGGAAAACTTCCATCTCTCTCTCTCCCTCTCTCTGGTCCGAGTCGGTGCAGCGCGTGTGGAAATGGCGCTGAGGGTGCTGTGAAACGACGATGAGGGTGCTGTGACTCCCCCCCTCCCGATTTGCTTCATTTCTCCTGGAACGTGTTTTTTTTATTATAAATATTATATACCGTTTTCTTTCATACGGCGGAGGAGAGGGGATAATGGAGAAAGCTCTCGGCGATTTTTAGAGTTCAAGGTGGCAGGAAACGTGTTTGTTTCTTGGGCATTAAAGATAATTAAAGATAATTATAATGGCAGATAACCCTCTCTTTTTTTTCCACCCCGACCCTCGACCGCGTTCCTCCTCTAAAGCCGCAAAGAAAAGCATCTCATTCGTCACCGTTCGCATCAGAGCGTCACTTGCGACACTCGAAGCAGGCCGTAGGGGGAATCTCGATGATTAACGATCCGAGTCCCAAGAAAGCTTACTAAACACTTCGATGATCCTTTAGGGAGATTCCCGGAACCCCCGAACCTGGCGCCTTGCCGCAAACTTTCGCTCCCTCGCCATCCCTTCCTCGGCTTTCCTCACTTTCCCTTTCCCCCCGATCCCTCGCTAACGAGACGGCCGGAATCGAGTCCCGGTGATGCAACGTCGACGTGGGTTTTTATTTGTAAAGCCGCTAAGGGTGTCGGCGTGGGGGCCGCGTTCGCGTGTTTCTCCTCACGCCCATGAACTCTTGCCCCCTCGAAAATTATCGTCAGCCCGGACACGCTCGTCTGTTTTTTCGCCGTCGCCAAAAGCATTCAGTCGGCCAGCTCCCACGGCGAGAGGAGTGGCCAATCTCGAGAGGCATTCCTGGTTTTTGTCGCTGTAGCCGAGAGGAAGACGAAGTGGCTTCTCTCTCGTGCGTCAGGCTCTCAGCGGGCTTCTTCGGATTCTTCGCTTGTCAGAGCCGGAATAATTACGGCATGTATAGGAAGTATCGTGATTTTTTTTTGTTGGGAAGTATGAAATTCCAGTGTCATTTATATGTGTCTGGTTTGTTCAAATCATTCATTTAATTTTGGGGGAACACGTGCAGATGCATGTCTAGATGTGATCAAGAGTGAAGATGGGAAGTCGCGCCAATACGAACCTAAACCGAACGAGAGGGGCACGGTATGGCTCCAACTACTTCAGTTACATTCGGGACCTCATGTCCCATTTCGTAACCGACTACGAGAGACGACGAGAGAGCGAGAGACCACTCGAAGTCGGCACGCCAGGTAATCGTCTCGCACTTCGTCGGAAATCGAATACGTCCAAATCGAGAGTGGAATGTGCCTTGTACGAGTCGAATACGCCCGAGCGGCCATCTTTACTCTTTCATCGCAGCCACGGGGATCCGGACGTTGCTCGTCGACGCGTTGGAGTTCTACGAGAAGGAGAACGCCAAGAACCATCACACGGACGCGTACGAGCTCGTCAACCATGGGACGCCCGTGTTTCGGAGGGGAGAGGCCTTCTACATGGCGCTCAGGTTCAAGGCCAGGGACTACGAGGTCAAGAGGGACATGGTCAAGTTCGTCTTCAGCTTCG